GGCCATGATGAAATTTCATAGAAAACAGTAAAAGAATTTACTTAAGATATAGAAAAGGAGGGAATTGATAAAGGGTGATCAAAATATAAAGCAATAATACAAGATTGTAGCCTTAGTTGCTTACTAGCTAACTTTTAGATAGAATTAGGATAGGGCCTTGCATGCTTATGCTAACTCACAGAAAAGATATAGTTAATTTTATAATGAAGACTTTAGCAGGAACAGAAAACCTTAGAGTTTAGATAAGGGTCTCTGAAGCTCATGAGAAAGAGACCTTGAAAGCTGATAAAGAGAAGCTCCTGAAGAAGATACCAGTTTTGAGTTAATTGGACACTGCCAACTCTACATATTTTAGCATAGGTAAAAAGTTAAAGCTGAGCAAGACTCCTTACCTCATCCGAAAGACCCCCGAAAGAAAACCCCAAGGGGGCATTCCAAGGTGGAGTTATAGGAGTGGAGTAAGGTAATGATTTCCCCTCCCACTTTTCTGGAATTTGCTGACATAGCTAATGCATATGTAACACAGCTAATGTATATGTAATACAACTAATGCATATGTAACATTATACTGAATAAAAAAGAACTGAACAAAGGCAACGTGTGTGCGTGATTGGAGGAATTACCCCCATGCACCCGGTGCGGTGAATAAACATACCTGCTTCAATACTCTTTGCGAGTTTTGCAGTTTGTTTCCCCAAGTCAACTGTATCAATTACCCTGTTTTGCACCGATACCTTTGAGTAAGAGCTTTGTGGTGCGAACCACACTTGCTCCCGATGCTGCTGCTCAAAAGACCAAAAGGTTTCTGAGCGGTTTCTTAACCAGATTTCTTGGATTCAGCTTGTCTTAGGGCCCATGGGCACGGTTCCTGGAGCTTGAGATTTCCTCCTTAAAGCACCTCCATCCTTCCTGGACTCCTTTGCCCTTCAGGACTGACTCCCAAGGGACTCCATCAATCAGTCTCCCAAACAGGTCAAAGTCTGCCTGTCCTCAGTCCAAGGTGTCAGTTCTGCTGCCCCCTCCTTCCTCCCCCCACAATGGAAAACTCAATCATTTTGGGGTCTCTGTGCCTGATGGCTCTGACCACCACATCCCCCACCAGTCACAGAAACATGGAATTATTTCGGTTGGAAGGGACCTTAAAGAGCCTTCTCTTCTCCAGGTTGAACAATCCCAATTCTCTCAGTCTTTCCTCGGAAAGGAACTGCTCCATCCCTCTGATCATCTTGGTGGTCTCTGTTCTGGACTTGCTCCAGCAGGTCCATGTCCTTGCTGTGCTGGGACCCCAGAGATGGAGGCAGCACTGCAGGGCTGACAACGTTACAGCCATGTGTGTTCCAGCAAGGACACTGTGGAACCTCCTGGAGTCAAGGGGCCCTTGTGACACTGTAGGGCCTTCTGGACCCAAAGGAACCCTGTGACACTGTGGAATCTCATGAAACCAAGGGACCACTGTGATATGTGGGGCCTCCTAGAACCAAGCGAGTCCTGAGATATTTTGCAAACTCATGGAATCAAGGGTCCATTATCACACTCCAGAGCCTGACAAAGCCAAATGGACCCTGTGACTCTATGGAACCTCCTGGAATCTCGTGACCATTCCGACACTGGAAAACCTCAGGGATACTGTCAGGTTCCCATCATTAAAAGATGCCTCTGTGTGTGGACCATTTGCCAAAGGCAGCAGTACGGGTTTGATTTAACAGTAAATATGAGGGAAAGAGAGAGGAAGGGGGTGGTGGGAAGACAATGAGAGAGAGACAGAGACTCAGTAAATATATCACACCATGGAGATCCCTGAGGCATCCCGCCGGTCCTTCTTCCCCATGGTCTGTCGGTGGTGGGTCCTGAAGTTGTTCTTCTGGGGGATCACTTTTATACAGCCCAAGGCATGGATATTCAGGGGGGTAGATGTTGTTCCCACATCTTGGGTTGGTACGTGTACAAGGACTTACTTCCTTTCCCACAGTTTGACATGCTGGGAGTTATGCCCGGTGTGCTTACAGTCTGCAGGTGGGAATCTTTGTCTGGATCGGGTTCCCCACACCTGCCTTACCAGTCCTTGCTGTCCATTCTTTTGCAAAGTGCACTTCTGTCCTGTGTGCTACTTCCAGAGCTTCACTTCCGTTAAGGCCTTGGAATTAAAGGCCTTCCTTTTTGCCACCAGTGCTTCTCTGTTGTGGCACCTTATGGGATTTCCCTTCTTTGGTAGTGTTTTGGGACAGTTCCTTGTGCGCTTCAAGTGCACACGTGCACACACAGCAGTCTCACCAGTGTCTGGCCCTCCAAAGAACACAAGACCTGATGATTTGTAGCTCCCACTCCAGTGGTTGGCACTTGGACCTCCCTCCATAGCCATAGATCAGAGCTCCCTTGTCCCAGAAAGGTTATTGTACCTCATTCTACCAAGATAATCTTTGGAAAAAAGTGTCACTCTGTGTTTCCTGGGATAAGAACACTAAATTGTCTTCTTCCAAAACCATGGAGAAGTCACAGAGATCTCCCAGGAAGGAATTTGGGGCCTCAAGCATGTGACCTGTGTATAGAGACTGAGGACTCTGGGGTCAGAGGTGTGAAGATTGAGGACAGTAGAGGAGTAGCCTGAGAGGTCTGGAAGGAGGGTGTCAGAGATGGTGGAGCTTTTCTGCATGGCAGAAAAGAGCATAAGAAGGAACTACTTCCACCAAGGGCACCTGGGGTGGCCCAGACTGGTGACAAGAAGTAAGAAATTTCCCTCCAAGGTCAGTGTTGTGGTGCAATATGTTACAAAGGAGTCTGGATGAGACCAAGGCTTTGTGTGCCCAAAGGAAGAGTCAGGGAGGATGGAGAGATGTCAGTGCAGGAAGGGGTCAGGGAGGTGGGGCAGTCGGGGAGATGATGACAGCCTGCAAGGGAAAGGGGTAGGGCATGGATGCCGCAGGACATCCTGGGCTGGACAGGAGAGGAGGCATGGGCAGAAGCTGAAAGCCCTGACAGCGCCACCTTCTGCAGGCCTTTGGCCATGGCTGCTGTCTGTGCCACTGATGCCAGGAGGAGACAAGTGACCCTTGCAGCCCTGGGGCCTCATGGCCTCCTTGTCCCTGCTCAGATGCCTGGGAGGTGCCACCCCATCATTGTGCCCTTGGCATGGCTCATCCCACATCCCAGTGCCCCAGGAAGAACCCTGAGGAATGAGGCAGGGACAGGATCTACCTTGCCAGGGGCTGGGGGTCAGACCTTGACCCTTTGGATTAAGGAAACAAGTTAATGTTTATTTAGCATCAGAACCACGTTTCCCTTGCTTGTCCATCCTTGTCATCTCTGTCTGCAGTTTTCTGCTCTAACTGTTACTTGGGGAGATGTTCTCAGTTGTGTATCTCAGTGAGACTCATTAGCAATGCAAGAAACTTTAGTGTTTCAATCTCTGAGTTCTTGAAAAGTTTTTTGCACTTACTCTCAGGGATTGAGTCTCATATAAACAACACCAACCCCCCCGAGGGTGATGATGGAATGCCTGGGGCTGTTGCTGTGCTGCTGAGATGGGCAGTTCAGGCACACAAGTAGGGCACAGACAGAGTTTCAAGGCGCTCAGCACTGGCAGGATGGCTGAGAGCTCACTGCAGAAGGAATCTTGGCAGGGCTGCACACGGGGAGTCTGTGGCTGCAGGGCAGTGCAGGGGCAGCTCCTGGAGGCACCTCCTAAAGCTGACCTAGCCCCAGTTGATGGGATGGGTGAGGACAGGGCTGTTTTGGGACAGTTGAGAAGAGTTGTGAATCCGGGGGTGCAACCAGGGGTGCCCAGGGCTGTGGGGGAGAGCAGGGTCCTGCAACCCAGGGTGCTGTGCTGGGCAGGGACTCTGCTGCCTGCCAGGGGCAGCTCTCAGCTGGCCCAGGGAGCTGCTCCCAGGGCTGGGTAAGAAGGGTTCTGGGCAAGGAGCAACCCCTGGGAGGGCAGGGAAGGGCTCTTCACCTGTTCAGAGTAGGTTGCAGGTTGTGACGGCTGCTCACAGTTCCAGGTCATTACAGAACATTTCTCAGGGGAGTTTTAAGAAAGCACAGCAAGTCATGGGATACCTGAAAGTGATGGATCCTGTTCTTTCCATCTTCAAATATGTGTTTTCTGGGTGAGAAACTGGTCATAAAAATAATATCCCAGTTCAGGAGGAGGCAGTGAAACTCCAAATCAATTCCTCTTAGAGGAGAATAGAACAGGCAGTATCAGAAATCCCCACACCTGTGCCTTACATGTAGCTCTGGGTCACTTTTCCAGCCTCTTCAGAGTTGCTCTGATGTTGCCATCAGAGCCTGCACAGCCAGAGATTCCCCTGGGCAGTGCTGCATTGCTGGGCTGGAACAGAGAAGATTTATCAAAGCTGCCCTTTTAAACAGTGTTGCCCTGTACTCATCAGGCTGTAGGTATTTGTCTTTAGTAAAAATTAATTTTCATGTGAAGTTACTTTCAGGCAGTATGAGGGAAAGCACAGGGCAGATGGGAACAGACTGAGGGACACTGCAGCTCTCCTGGCTCTGCACTAAGCTACAGAGAGCTGAACTGTTTGTCCTCTTTTATTTAAAGTCTCCTTACATTTTGCATCATAAAAATGACATCCTAACAAGAACAGGTACCAGATGCAACCATAGAAAATAATAAACACAGACAACATTATTTTAAGGACATGCTAAGCCTTTCCAGTGAAGCACACACTGTTCCATGTCTGGAGAGTGGAGACTGAACTTTTCCATTAAAGGTGGATGATGCCCGACATCCCTTGGGAGTGTTTGATGCTGTCACAGACCAGCTCCATGTCCCCCCTGGAGCAGAGGAAAACTGAGCCCTTGGCAGCACATGGGCAGAGCTCCTGTTCCTCACAGCACCGTCAGACCACAAACAAGGGAAAGGAAAAGCCTTTCAGTTCTGGGGTTTCCTATGAGAAATATAGTGACTTTGCTTCGAGGAGTCTGTCTTAACTTCTCCCTGTCCCTTCATGTTTCTGAACAGACCCTGTGCTGGGAAGTAGCAAATGCCCAACAGCAGCTCCATGGCCCAGTTCCTCCTGCTGGCATTGGTAGACTGGCGGGAGCTGCAACTCCTGCACTTCTGACTCTTCCTGGGCGTCTCCCTGGTTACCCTCCTGGACAACAGCTTCATCCTCAGAGCCGTAACCTGTGACCACCACCTGCACGCCCCCAGGGACTTCTTCCTGCTCTACCTCTCCCTCACAGACCTGGGCTGCACCTGCACCACTGTCCCCAAAGCCATGAACAACTCCCTCTGGGACACCAGGGACATCTCCTACACAGGATGTACTGCACAGACCTTTTTCTTTGTATTTTTCATCTCAGCAGTGTATTTCCTCCTCATCATCAAGTGCTACGACCGCTACATTGCCATCTGCAAACCCCTGCACTATGGGACCCTCCTGGGCAACAGGGTTTGTGCCCACATGGCAGCAGCTGCCTGGGCCACTGCGTTTCTCAATGCTCTGATGCACACAGCCAATACATTTTCCCTGCCCCTGTGCCAGGGCAATGCCCTGGACCAGTTCTTCTGTGAAATCCCCCACATCCTCCAGCTCTCCTGCTCACACTCGGGCTACCTCAGGGATCTTGGGCTTCTTGGGGTTAGTGCCTGTTTAGTGTTTGCTTGGTTTTTTTTCTTTGTTTTCTCCTATGTGCAGATCTTCACGACTGTGCTGAGGATCCCCTCTGAGCAGGGACAGCACAAAGTGTTTTCCACGTGCCTCCCTCACCTGACTGTGGTCTCCCTGTTTATCAGCACTGCAGTATTTGCCTTCCTGAAGCCCCCCTCCATCTTCTCCCCTTCCCTGGATTTGGCACTATCAGTTCTGTACTCAATGGTGCCTCCAGCACTGAAACCTCTCATCTACAGCCTGAGGAACCAGGAGCTCAAGGATGCCCTGAGAAAAATGATGACTGGATGCTTTTCAGGAGCAATAAAGTTCCTGTTTTCTGGTGTGTAGCATTCAGAATGGGACTCCTTAATGGCCCAGCCTTCCTGCTCAGGTTTTTCGTTGAGGTCAGTGGGTTCTTGTAGTAATTTTCCGAGTAATGAAATATTATTATGCATTTACCTTCTAATTTAGTGTCTACCCATTGAATTTGACCCAGAGATGTAAAAATGATAAATTGTGATCTGAGTATTTAAACAAAGTAAAGGACCCTGCAGTGTCTTCTTTGTCCAAGATCCTTCTTCTTAGGTGTTCCTAAAGGACAGCACTCTGCAGGACAGGGTGTATTTGCAAAGGGGAAGGGGACAATAATCCCAGCACAACAGCACTGCCAGGGAGCAGCAGAGTTTGGTCTTTGTAGAGTTGCTCTCTTTCCAATTCCACACTGTCCTTCTGAGCCCCTTTCTCACTGTAAGACCTGAGTGCTCTCTGAGCACAGTCCTGGGGGGTGGAAACCCTTTGAGTACAGGTAGGGACAGGCACTGGGAACTTGTGAAGCAGAGCTGGCCTCCCTTACAGCATCTACAGGATGCTGTGGGATCTTCTGAGGGCAGGGCATGTCCTGGGTCACTTCTTCTGTGCCCTTGCTCCAGGGCTTGAACTCTCCTGCAGTGACACCATGACACTCCTGCTCTTTACTTTCCATGGTTCATTTTGAAATCCCGTCTTCCCCTCCTGTTCACAGGGACATCCTGTGAATGCTTCAGAACTGCCTTCCTGAGGCATCTCCTGCCCAGCGTGGGCAGGCACAAGGTCTCTCCACCTGCTCCTCTCACCTCACCGGTGCCACTGTTTGCTGCAGCCTCCTCCTCCTCCTTGCTCAGCACAACCGTCCTGGCATAGCTGGACACAACCGTTGTTCTACACCCTCCTCGTGCACCTGCCCAAGCCCGTCAACTACAACCTGATGGCCAGAAACCTTCAGGGCAGGGAGGCACTGGGGAAAATGCCGAGGACACCTTTCAGTTGCACTAAAATACAATGGGAGTGGTTGACTTCGAGGAAGAAATCACTTGGAATTCTCCAGAACCACCATGACAACCTGTGTTGTGTCCTGGGCACTCCACCGCAAGTGTGGGATACTGGAAAGGTTTTGGTGTCAGGGATATTGAGAAGGCTGGGCAGTGTCACTGGGAGACCTCTCCCAAACCCTTGCAAAGGCCAGAGCCATCCCAGAGGTTCCTGGGGCCTTGGCAAAGGCACACATGGAACCAGTCTGCAAACAGGGCAGCAAGGAGGCTTGTCAGAGTTTCAGAATGCTCAGGCTCAACAGGGAAGGGGACATGGCAAGTCCCCCTGCAACCATTCCCAGGCATGGGAAGGACAAGGCAGGGATTGCAGGACTCCTGTGGGAGGGAAAAAAAGGGGATGTTGTGTGCCTAGACTTTATCAAGGTCCTTGACATGGTCTCCTCTGATCTCCTTAGAGCCAGATTGGTGGCAACTGATCTGAAGAAGTGGAAGATGTGGTAGGTGGGAGGTTGGTTGAATGAAGAGTGTCTAATTAAATCCATGGTACAAAGTCCTGGTTTTACTGGTTCTTGGAAACTAGGCAGGAATTTTTCCCTTCCCCCTGCCCACTTCAAGCAGGACTGTTAAGTGGGCAGTTAAGGAGTACAAAGGAAACTACCTTCTGGTTATTCTGGTTAATGGCTCAGAATCTCATCCCCTGGGAAATCCGACTGAGGAACTCATTTTTACTTTTTTTTTTTTTTCTCTCCTCTCCTGAGAAACGGAGGGAGGATTTCAAGCTTGCTGCTGCGGCTGGAACAAGGTTTGAGTGGAAACTCTGTGGGGTTTTGTTCTCAACCTGGTTGCCAGCTGTGGATTCTGCTTGGATTTTTCATCAGAGAGGAACTGTTTGGGGAGTTCTTTTTTTTTCCTTTTCCTTTCCCTGTTCCCTTTTGTTTCTTCCTTAGCAGTGGTTCTTGTGCACATCAAAGGTAGAAAGAAAACTATACCGCACAATTTGATCAGCAGAAAGAGTGAGGGTTTTTTCCCATTGGGGAGGATCTTTTTTTGTTGTTTCTCTCCCTCCTCTCGTGGGAGGGGAGGGAAACCCATTTTCGGTTTCTCCAACACACCCCGGAGGGTGTTACCCCAACGTGGCAATGACCAATGATTGTACAGCGCCCCCTACTGACCAGTAAAAAGAACTGCAGGCTTTGCATTTCCAGTGATCCAAAAACCCCCCTTGTGACTGGCACAGGACACTACAAGCTCTGCATCTCCGGTGATCCAACGGCACCCCCTGTTGACTGTGGTTAGAATTGCACCAAACTGAACTGTTTACTTTTTTTTCTTTGCTTCTTTATCAGTATGTTTTGAAGGGGATTATTGTGGGTATAGGAGTATTGTTTGGTTGTTTTATTTGGGTTTTTTCATTGTTTCTGCCAATACATATATATTTTTAAATAAGGCACTTTTATTTTTTTGGGGGGCCAAGATGGCGTGCTCCTGCAGTTGGGTGGTGGGTCGTGGGGGACCCGCTCCTGCTCCCGCAGTTTGTCGCCGAGCTGATTGCATGGGAGACTGTGCTGTTGACCTTGTGGAAAAGCCTCTGGGAGCTGTGTCTTGACGGCGGAGCGGAGGAGTGGTTGGCGAATGGTCGGTGGCCATGTGGGGCCAGGTCAGACCACGAGGGTGCAGGGAGGGAGTGGACGGACCTGGGGTTTCCCTGGGTCGACAGAGGGAGGGGAGAGGCCAGAGGGGTAACCTTGTTTAGGGGCTTGCGGGTGGGCAGTGCAAGGGGGAGCTTGTGGTGGCACGGTGTGCAGGTGAGGTTAGGGGTCAGTAGTGGGTTTCTCTGGGTGTTGGGGGGTTTGGGCTCGGTAGGAGAGTACCCAAGTCTCGGGTGGATGCAGAGACCTCTTACACGTGTGCCCGCCCTTGCCCAGGGGTATGTTGGTATCGCTCCTGTTCGGGCATTGCCACAGTGGGGGTGGGATGTGATGGGCTTGGTTTGCTTGTGGCTTCTGCCCAGGAATGTGGTGTGTTTTTGTTGTTGTTGTTGCGGCTTTGTGGGTTGTGGGTTTTTGTGATGGGTTGTTTGGTTTTTTTTTTGTTTTTTTTTAATCATAGTGTTTTAGAGGGGTGCTCAGGGCAAGGAAATGTCCCTGGGTTAAACTGTAGGAAGCTGTGAAGGAAAAGTAGGGAGAGAAGGGCTTGTCCAAACTATTTCAGTATGCCCTTATGAGGTTGAGAGCTGTGTTGGTGGTGGCATATGCCTCCGGTAGGGTCTCCCATGCCAGACAGGTCAAAACTGAAGGGTCAAATGTGTCCATGGGCAAGATGAGCTCACTAGCCTTTCCAGCGGTCATCCTAGGACGAAGGACAACTCTAATTTCAATCCCAGGTAGATGGAGCTCACTAAACCCTGTAAGGCCATCCATCCAAGAGAAGGATACTCTAATTAAACCTACATCCTGAGGACCTCATTGTCACCGTCCAAGCTTGTTAGGCCCTGGCAGATGAACCTCAGGAGTAAAGGGTGGGACCAGTTCTGCGCATGCTGAGCCGCACCTAAAAAATCCACTGCACAGGCTCGAGGGTTATACCCACACTTGTAAAGTCCTGCAGCGACAGGTGAGGGATGAAACGGCAGGTGAAAAGGTGCACTGGCAACCGCAGTCCTAACCCTGCATGCAGGCGGTTCAGGACATTGGTCATCTTGAGTCTGACCCTGGAGATGACAGACTCACTCGGCAACATCCTGAACGACTAAGCAGTCTTTTTCAAGGAGACCACTGCTTGCTCCACACGGAGAGGGGCCTAGAAAAGGTGACCTAACCATAGCTCATCTCCACCCTTCACCCGGTTGGTTAACCGTGGCCAACGGGCATCTTGTGATGCAGTCAAACAAAGTTTAAGAGTCAAAGTCAAAGGCATACACATGCCTCCAAAGGTGTACTCAAAATAACACTCGCATGCTGGAACATCAGAACCATGCTTGATACTGCAAACAGTGGATGTCCTGAGCGTCGCTCTACTCTAATTGCCCATGAACTGTCATGACTCAACACCATCACTGCTCTAAGTGAAGTTCGTCTTCATGAGGAAGGCAACCTTAGAGAACATGGTGCCGGTTATACACTCTACTGGTCAGGTAAACCCAGTTCTGAAAGGCATCTTTCAGGAGTTGGTTTCATGATTAAAAACTCTATTGCCTCTAAACTCGAAAATCTGCCTACTGGTCATTCTGATCTTATTATCTCCCTATGCCTCCCACTACACAACAAGTAACATGTTGTTCTCTTTAGTATATATGCCCCAACCCTCCAAGCTGACCCTGCTGAAAAAGATAAATTCTACAATGACCTACACCACCTTATTGTGGAGAACTGGCTATGTGAAAAGAGGCATGCAGGCCCACAGGAGCTGGGAGGGTATCGACTCAGCAACTTTAAGCACAGCTGGTGTAGTTACTGTCCAAGCAAGGTCATGCTAATCTCTTTGCGATAGCCGTTGCTCAATAACAAGATCTTGTTATTACTACAGCCTGGGAAAATGAGGGGCTGAGGGTTTCCAAAGGCAAGAAGTGGAGGCGGTCCGGACCTCTAGGGCTCTTAGCAATCACGTAGTTAAATTACAGAATATTAATAAGCTCATTATCTATCCTATATTTTGCTGTGGTGTGTGTTCAATAAATGGAGCATGTTGATTCTCATATTGAGTGTCCCTGCTTTCCCGCGTTCTGCTACACCTTATCCAAAAGGTTCCTGCAGATGATAAGATCATTATCCTTGGTGATTTCAATGCCAGAGTAGGAAAGAACTCTGAAGCCTGGAAAGGAGTACTAGGCAAGCATGGTGTTGGGAACTGCAATGATAATGGTCGCCTTCTGCTAGGAGCTTACCATCACCAACACTATCTTTCAGCAGAAAGATAGTTTGAAGACAA